TATTAACAATATAATAACAAAATATTTGCTATTCTTTTCCTCACTGGTGCATATTAAAATAAAGATTCTTAAAAAGAATATTTACCTCCCTTCAGTCAATCATTAAAAAGTGGAAGGTTTTAGGCAATAATCTATTTTTAACAACTCTAGTGAGATCCTCTTGTTCACTGAGCTCCATGAGTTTTTATCATGATAACAGCGCTTAAAGGTCTTATCTGTTAATGTTTAGCATCACGTGTCATACAGCAGATCTTTAACATCAGAACTGTGAGGATATTTCCGCGTTATTTCGATCAATAGCTTTGCCATTTTTCTGCGTGCTTCCAGTCACTCTGACCAGCCGAGCCTCATTAGTGGGCTACTGAGGCTATGATGGAGCTTGTTGCTTCACGGGGGATGTCGGTGGGGGTCCGTGACCCTGCTGCTGCAGCCAAATGAGGGGTCAGATTCAGAGACAGTGGGCTGCCACATTAGAGACAGCYGCCTTAATCAGCTGCAAAGTGCACGGCAGCACACAGCGTCCAATTAACCATCGGATAAATTTCAAAGCTGACCACAGAGGAGTTGGAGTTTAACCACGTCCACAGTGCCTATTTGTGTAATAGTTAAGCTATCACAGCAACAAAAAAGCAGAGAAACAGGGTGTTTTTGGGATGTTTACCACGTCCCACTGATTCTGCTTTTAATTTACTGTTTTGTCAACAACACATAAGAACTTTGTTAAATATTACAACAAAACAATTGTTTTGTTCTTGATAAGGGCTCTTACATTGCTATAATTTGCTGCATCRCCATTTTATTTGATCTATTTTCACTTGTATGTTAAATTCCTGCAGTGTATTTGCTCTGATTTTAGGAATGATTAAAAAGAAAATAGTATTTTATGTACGAGGCTGAGACACATCGGCATTGTGGACAGTAATTACACCCCCGCCTGTGAAAAAAATGCCAAACTTATTAACAAAGTAACAATCTGTTATGATGTAAAAAATACTCAATAATGTATTACTGTATATATAACAGAATATATAACAATGTATTTTTTATCTCATCATTAAAACTCATTTTAAATCCTGTTGATGCTGTGAATGCAGTTTTTRTAAGATGTTATAAAACATTGGTTTCCTATAAACACTGAATATAAACAAATCAGTAATTAATTATTCTGGAACACAAAACAATTTGTTTTAATTATTTTAGTCATGTCATTTCTATTTCATCCAATCCAGTGATTTGATTAACAAACTGAGCTCTGTAAAAGGTTAACTGCTGGTCAGAATGATGATACACATATTCCTGATATTTGAAAGGACCGTCAACTTTATCAGCAGAAGACTGAAGCTAATAAACTGCTTCACTCGACGGCTCTACACAGAGAACGTTTAAATGACATTTCAATTACAGCTTGTTTACAAYAGTAAATAAAATGACTGCAAATGCAACTTATCAGTCGTGACTACACCAGTAACCATCAACATTAACAAGGTTTTATGGAGCAGCTCCTCCACCTGCTTCCTGAGAGCTGCTCTGGCCTATAGCTCGCATGAACGAGCGGCACGCTGATTTAATGAGGGGAATTAAAACCAGGCTCACCATCAGTCAATAGTATTAATGTCACGACTTAAATAAAACATCACAGGTTTTACCTTCTGGATGATAGCACACTATAACTCATCCAGCAGCTAGCTAGGGTTTTAAAATGCATCAGAAATTCTTAATGAGCAGAAACAACAGCGTGACATCAACATCACAGATGAGTCAGCACGTGTTCGTACCACACTGCACTGWGGGCCTTCACCGGGCGACTGAGTGTGCACTGAGATTTGTGCGAGTTGCTGTGATCTCAAAACGATTTCAGCTGCAAATCTGAGGAATCAGGGTGCCATTCAACAGATTTGAAAAGGCTAAAATGATAAAGAGTCAGTTTTATAATAAAAGTTAACCAGCCAGATCAGTAATCTTGTTACAAATCCTCYGCTCATTCCCCATTAACCAGTAAAGTATAATTATTACTGACAGGAGGAGGTTGGGGAGGTGACAATGTTGTTRCGTCATTTCAGGGATTACTGTTGGTTCCATGGTCACTTAATCACCCTCTACCATAATCTTGCCATTTATCATTTGGTTGCAGATCYCTCTAACTCTCAATGGATTTATCCTCCATTAACCACAGTTAGTGTGGCTGGAGTCATCCCTGGCTTTAGAGGGATTTTCCAAACAATAAAGTAGAGAATTATGAGACTGTGGAGGACTGTGATTAAGGTTAAAGCACGTAATCGTCCTTTTCCATGAACAGCCTTGATCTGAGTTATTTCAATAAACTGGAGATTTGACTTTTTGCACATTTATTTCTTTTAATTTGCAAAATTAATTAACTTAAAGACTTTTATTTTGTATTTTGTTCTTATTTCTTTGCTTTTATTCTGCAATTTGTTTTTATAGTTTGTTTTCTCTTATTTCACTGTTCCAAGGTACTGCTCCTCATTTAGACTGCTTCCAGTACTCCTCACATACCTGGTCCTAGTTTCTGGTCTATTTTTTTATGGTTTTGTGTCAAATTAATATTTTTACACTCTTATTATCCAGGTGGAATCATGACCGTGTCCCTGGAGGTCAGCAGAAACACACAGCAGCTACATCTGTGTGTGACAGAATGAATCACAACTAAATGTCAAACTGACACTTTGGCAACAAGCAAGGGTTTGGTAATAAACCTCATACTCAAACTCACTAAATATACATAATAAATACAGACTGATGTCTATAGTAAACACTGGCTTGTGTGCTATATTYGAAAAGGTTTTTAGCAAAATGCAAATGACTCCACTGAGGGATAATAAGCTGGACACGGCTGTCAATGTCTCCCTGCATCCAGACTCAGATCATCTTCATGATAATTAGCAAATAACAAGCAGTAGCTTTTTTAGTGTGTGTGTGTGTGCGTGTGTGTGTGTGGCATCATAGGTGAGACAGGCTGACAGCAGCAAACCTGACAGCAGTTTTCTCTGTAGCATCTGGTTCATCTGAGGCAGGAAGGTCCTCGGCCAGAATCTCCTCGGGACTCCGTGGGTCATTCAGGGGTGCCTTCTGCTCTTTGCCTTTGATCCCCATCCCTGCCGTGATGGCATTCCACAAAGCACTCTGGGACTTTGAGCCTAGAAGAGAACAAACAATGAGAGCACATAGTGGTGTTATTTATATTAAGCAGGGTCGTGAGTCATGCCTAAAACGGTTGGCGAACACCACCAGCTGTAGACACATCTTTCAGAATCCCAGTGGAAGGCCGAAAGGAGGTTTGGTGCCTTGCTAATGCTGCCCCCATGTGGACGAATGTTGCAAATGTCATATTCACAAGTAATTCACAAATGGATGCTTTCACAGAGAACTTTTTTTAGCCCACAAACATCTAAATGTATGTGACAATTAGTTAATATAAATGCATCATATGTTTAATTTTTAATGTTGGAGTAATTTTTAAACCCTTTRCAAGATTTTCATTTTAATGTCCTTTTACTCTGCTTTTAATGAGGGGGGCATATATTTCTGAAGCTAATATTTCATTAATGCTGGGYAAAACGACCCGTTAATGCTTTGATCTGAATGGTGAATTGCTCTGAAATGAAAAAGTTCAGTGAACTGACCGTTAATGAAGTGAAACTAATGGAGGGCACATTACACTTACGTGAAAAACTGGCCGGGGGTCTGGAGGAGCTCTCTCCATCTTCATTTGCCACTGAAAAAAAGAATGGGGGGAAAAAAGAAAAGAAAGGAAAAAAAGAGTTAAATAATGGAGACATAAAGCTTTAAAGATAACGCTGCCACTTTGCTTAGAATTCAACAGTTTTTAATGGATTTGTGTAAATAAGAAACCTTAAAAAACACATTGTTTTTAAACTAACTTTAGTTTTAATTTAAAAAACAAGCACAACATAAATCACTTATAAATTAGTCTTAACGAGTCATAAACAATTGTTTCAAATTAACAAGAAGTTTTATTTTACTTATTATTTTACTTTGTATTTTCATCTTTTGTGTCTTTTAGTTAGAATAAAATAACAGATGCAGTGAATTTTACAAACAAAAACATAACACGATAATACATTGTTATATAATTCTGTGAAGTATCTTGAAGAGTGAAATAAATAGTTGTGAAAACACAGTAACTGTTGCTGCTTTTACAAAGTTATGGTTAAAATACGCTTTATAAACTAATGAAGAAGKTTCAGAACCATTTATCTTTCCATGTCAYGGGGKATCTCCAGCAGTCACTGTGTGAGAGGTGGKGTCCACTCTGGACAGTTCATCAGTCCATCACAGGGACATGTAGAGACAAACAACCACCAGTGAACCTAACAGGCATGTGTTTGGTCTGTGGGAGAAAACCAGGAAGCATAAACTTCACCCAGAAAGGCTGCAGGCTGAGAGGCGATCCTGTGACCTTCTCACTGAGAGACGACAGCTCTGAGCATTCAAAACAGCTAAATTAAAGTTTAAGTGGACACACTATAAGCTCTAATATTAAACAGAACAAAACAAGTGTGACAACCGTTATTAAAGTGATGTGTTAAATTTGATCTAAGCTACAACAAGCTCAGTTTGCTGCCAGGAATAAGAGAGAAGTGCTGCAGACAAGAGCAGCAAACACTTCCAACAATCCAAAGGTCTTCATCTTCTGTAACACAATAACGAAATGCTGAGAACAGTGTGGATGAGAGCAGCAGAGATTGGCCATTAGGTGCTACACATCTCCAAATATAGAACAGCGATGTTTGGTTCAGGTTCAACAGACTCCTAATGCAAGTCTCCTGTTCACTAGATGCTGTTGATGACATATCAAACCTTACAAATAAAAAGTTCTAATATTCTATAACAAACAGCTGAAAGACAAGAGCCTCAGGAGTTCAACTTGTGTCCCAGTAAGAATTTAGAAAGGTATTAGCATGTCTGATTCCTCCATAGAGTCATCCTTTCACACAGATCCAGTTCAGAGATGCTGACAGGTGCATCGCGGTGAATTTATTTGTTTTCATAAAACTTCTCACTGTAACGTTAGCAGACGACTGGCCTTCTGGGAAGAAAACAAGGTTTGAACCTCTAACTCATGACAGTAACATTTCATAAACGACGGCAGCACCTGAGCCTTTTCTATTTCTAAATATGAAGCTAAATCCTTTTATTATTGATTTATTTTGTAGCTTTGGACATTTTGATTAGTTATCAGTAACTTAATAACTTTTATGGCAAATGAAAACACTAAGGGCCASTTAATGAATTTAGATACTAACAAACGGCATTAACGAATGGTGGTAAATATTGCTAGATTACAAGTTGTATGTTTTTCCACTTCAATTAGATAATATTAATTTACTAACGTAAAACCAATCAATTTTTTTTGTATAGCACTCAAACAAATGTTGCTGATCAAAAGTAGTAAGGTGACAATACTGATCATAAAAACAAAAACTAAAAACAGTTACAAAAATTATAAATACACAAAAACTGAAGAAAAAAACCAGGACAAACAACACTGAGCTGTTTACACAACCTGCAGATTTATGTGAAAATAAGGAAACAAAGATGGAACTGGATAAGTTGAAAATGTRAGATAAAATTGGATTTCTTAAGATTTCTTTCTTTAAGGGCTTTGATTATTATTTTGTGACCTTCATAGCAACAAAGTGCAAAGCTTTGACCATYCTCCAAGAAATAGGGTTTGAAATTGTGTTTTAAATATTAACTATATCCTTATATACAATTTATCCTTCTTTCCAAGTTTCTATGTCTGTTTTTCACTGAGAAATTATGGTTGGTTATTCAGTGCAATCAGCAAACTTGTTTTCTMACATGACAAAGCTCACAAAGCCGGAAAACTCTGTCTCTATGTAGCGCTCATTCTTTGTCTGGATGTGCTTTGGCACGAAGCAAAAAGCTGCTAAAAGCAGAAGGACACAGAACCAAACATCAGAGAGCTCAGTGGTGAAGTTAGACTCTGTACACACTCTTACTCCTGTTTCCATGGTGAGACCATGATCCTGCGCTTCTACGCTCATCTTGTTTCTGTTTTTTTTGTTTGTTTTTTTTCTGATGACATTGAAAAGTAAAAAAAAATTCACTTCTGGATCCCACATTACTTTTGCTGTTTATCAGACAATGTTTTTTCTTTCCCAGTAATTTTATTTTATGTWATGCTAACATGTCCTCTCAAGCTGACAAAACTGTTTACTTTGTCAGTTATAAAAGAAAACCGTGTTTTTTAAATGCTACACACACATGAAAATTAATAAATATTTGCAGAAATAAAACTGTTGCATATTTGAAGTTGGATGAGAATGCATGCCTCTTCTCCAAACCACAAACACAATACTTCCTGAAAGGCTTTCTACAATTTCTTCTTTCTCTAAAAGTGAAATGGGGAGGAAAACAAATTATTAGCTCCATTTGGAAGCGAATGTRGTTGCAGTGGGCAGATCAAATACTGCTACTGAACAATCACAGCTTTGTGTGGGATTAATTGCCTACATTTGTTTAGGCTRTTTGATGATTCTATTGGGCTGTGCAGTGGAGCAGTTAGCACTGTCGCCTTGCTGCAAGGAGGTCACATATTTGCTTTGCTGCAGTGTGTTCTCCCAGGAGTTTCCTCCCAAACATTTATGTTAAGTTGTTAGTTAGTTTATGTTAGTTAAGTTGTGATGGACTGGCAGTCCGCCCGGGGTGGACCAACTTTGTGCCCCTTTTCCACTAGTGTTACTTAATGTAGAGTCGGTACGGTTCGGTACGGTTCCAAGCCATTTCCATTGGGCCAGATTCATGGAACGGGCCCTTTTTTTAGTACCTACTTCGTTGTGGTTCCAAGTGGCCCCAGTTGACACCAAAATGTGATGTCACTGATTGGCTAGGGGGTGGAGTCACTGGTTGTGTCTAAGCTGCCTTTACAAGAACAACTCAAGGAGCCATTTTTCCAATTGTAGCAGTGGCATTAGTCGTGATTCCATCAGATTTTAATTCGAATTTTTTGCAATTTTTTTTAAATTTCAAAAGTTATTCATCAAATGTGTTTCCATCTCTCATTTTGCCCATTAACTTTTTTTTTTTTTCAAAAAAACCCAAAAACCACCTCCACCCCAAAACACACCCACTGGAACCAGACTGGAACG